TGAAAGGTGGAGGTGGAGAGTTACCAGGGAGTTCTGCTAATGTGGTAATCTGCCATACAGTAACGCCCGGGGGAAATCTTTCAAGTGTTCTAGCGAATGTTTCTGTTTGGAGGAGTTTGTATTTAACGGATGACAAGTTAATGTGTCGTCAGTGTCTCGGTTGTGGAAGAGCTGCTAAAAGGAATGACAAATGTGTGTGCAGCTTGCTATTTTCCCGATACATTAACGTGTCCGTTAAACAAGATTTTAAACCTTGTAAAACTGAAAGAACCCTCCAGAGAATTGAACTTTGTGACAGATACTCAGCTCCTTCCCCAGAACTTTTCAGTGGACCTTTGGCTTTGAGTTTTCCAGAAAGAAAAATAGAATTCTCTAGCAGGAAAATCTATACAGTGTGGTCACTGACCTTAGGCAAAGAAACCAAGAAACAGATACCGATCCTATATATTTAGAAGAATCTATTGGTATATGTGCTTTAGTTCCCAAATCATGACCTGGTGACCTGACATAATCCTCTCATCCTCATTAGATCCTGCTCTCTCGATCTCTCTCTTTTTAAATCAAAGATATGTTTTTTGTTTTGTTTTGTTTTTATTGATTTTTGGAGAGAAGGAAAGGGGTGAAAAAATCCATGTGAGAGAGAAACATCTATTAGTTGGATGTCGATTGTATGTGCTCCAACTCAGGATTAAACCCACAACCTCGGTATGTGCCCTGACCAGGAATTGAACCCACCATCTTTGGGTGTACAGGACAACACTCCAACCAAGTGAGTGACCTGGCCAGAGCAGATCCTGCTCTTTGTATCAGATGGTAATCTGTCTTCCCCCAGAAACTCAAGTAATCAGCAATGGTCATTAATGCCTCTAATGCGTTTGGCGATTAAGCAGATGTTATTTTTGCCCTCAGTTTATTCCTAAGGCTGCAGAGCCACCGAGAGCCACATAACAATTTAGGATTGCTCACCGAGTAAAACGCGGACATCTGGCCCATTACCAACTACTTCATCCAACACATATGCAATTACTCTTTAGAGTTAAATGCACATGTTACTCTCTTGTCTCTTATATTACTAGTTCTGGTCAAGAGATATATACATAGGGGATCCCCAAAAATGTATATACACACTTTAAATCTATAAAGGCAGTGCTTATTAAAATACATTTCATTTTCAAAATCGAGCTAGCAACTGTTAAAATGTGTATGTTTTTGCGGTACACCCTGTATTTGTATTTGTTTGAAAAATCTGTTCTGTTGTGGGTAAAGGGGCATTTTTAGCAGCCTTTTTATCCTTATCTTGGGCTGCTCTTCAGTTTCTAGGCTGGTTCCTTGTCCCATTTCAAACCCTCTCTTTTTATAGGTGACAATTCCATTAATTAGAGACCAAAATATAATACTGTGCCTACTTTATTTCTCATGTTTGAAAAATAAAGTCAATAGAAAGAATGATTCTTTCAGGGTGTGTGTGTGTGTGTGTGTGTGTGTGTGTGTGTGTGTGTTTCAGGACGTCAGAGAAAGGAAACTACAGAATGTTTCTGAACCTCCTCCATAGTTGCAGCTCTCTCTCCACCCCTAGCATCTTTAAGATTTAAAGTGCTCTTTGCGAGTCATCATTTTTTCATGATGAAAATCCCCTACAGAATTGCTGGAGTGTGTGCGTAGCAAACCAAAATGAACTAGGAAAAAAATCCAAGCAGTGAACACACATCTAAGAAAATGAACATATGGATCCCTTGGAGACCAGCAGCCTGAGCTGCTCCCTGGCACCTTGAGCTTCCCCATCTCAGATTTCGCTTAAGGTCCTAACAGGCCTTAGGAAGCTTGAAATGACCACAAACCACTCACTCATTAGCTGAGTGATCTTGAGCAAGCTACTTCATATCTCTGAGTTTCACTTCTGTCATCTGGGAAATTGAGAAAATACCTCTCAATTTACTGTGGGAATGAAGCTCCATAAAATGTGTGGCATAGAAAACCGCACAATGCCTGGTGTACATGAGGCCTACAATAGCAATGGCATGAAGTATCATGTTTGTTAGCTGTCTAGGGAAAATTGCTTATTCTTCAATGAGAAATGTTTATCAATATATAAACGTGTTCATGATCTCACCTATTTCTCTTCTATTTCTCCCTCTTTTAGCTCTTTCTAAACCTCTGGATACCTGTGTTTATGGAGTCCCTCCCCCTCAGAAAGTCACACAGAAAGGTATCAGATAAAACAAACTGTCACTTATCCTTCTCGAGCATAGAACTGTGGGAGAAAGAAATCCTTAATGTAGAAAAATGAATTGCTATTAAAATAAGTGGATAGGATTTGCGTAAAGTAAAACCCTCCCTTACCCCCTTTAGATTGCAAAGATGGGTAACCAGCTACTCAGCTCAGAACAATTTCTGAGCGCCACTCACCATCTGACCTCTGCTTATCTCAGTAGCCCCAAAGCTCACCATTCCCACCCTCATGAACATCATCTGTGCTATTCCTTCACTGCACTGCCTGCACTCCTGGCACATATTTCTCTCATGTTGTGCCTTTGGATATACTGTTCCCTTTACCTAGAATGCCCAGCTCTCAACCAGGTAACTCCTAGTTGTCCTTGAAGATGCAGCTCAGATAACTATTCTTAATGATCCATGGTACTCTCTCCAGGTCTAATCATCATTTGACTCCAGGATGATGGAGGAGTGAAGATTCCCATTGCAGTCTGTGAGAGTGCTGGGCTCTGGATTGTACTGTGCAGTCTGCAGGCCTATTCCTGGTTCTCTCACAGCCTGTCCACCAGCCCACCTCTCCTGTGTACCCCAGGAGCTTCCTGATGAAAATGTTTATTCCACTGTTTTCACTGTTTCTTTGAAGTCTTTTCACATAGACTGTGAGTTCCTTGAGGAGGAGTATGGATTCTATTTCTGTTTTCCCAATACTTCTCATTCACTATTAATCCTCCATCAGTAGCCTTGTTAATTTCCAGTAGGGAAGAGCCATTTCCAGATGAGACTCTTTCAGTACATTAACAGCTTAGTCAATAGGTTTCAATTTTGTAGGAAAGTATGAAAGGCAAGAAGGGCTATTTGTGGGTAAAGATAAGCTAACAAGAATCAGCTAAGTAGACTAGAATAATGGTGGAGAAAAGTTGGTTTCTAGTACCTTCTTGAGATTCACTCACATCCCTTTGGATTTCAAATGGAGGTGATATCTGTATTCCCAAGGCAAAAAGGCAGGCTATGCCTACAGTGAGTCATGCAGCTTGAAGCTATTCTAATATTTACTTAGTTAGAACCATAACCACACTGGGCATTGCTGGCCTCATATGGATCACATATTCACAGTCAGTTCTTGGCTTAGACAAGAAGACATGTATTATCTCCACGGTTGCTCAAAATGTATTTTCATTTCATTATGACTATTGTGCTTAGAGGCATGATTCTCGGTCTATAATCCCTATTAAATATTTTCAACATAGTCTATACATTTAAGTGCACAGTCTTCTTTGAAGCAGACTCTGTTGAAATGGATATCCATTATCTGTTTTCTCTGTCTTCCAGGACTACCACATTTTGTTCTAGCTAGAAAGGGACAATTTTTTACATGAATGCACTTTGCAACTTGGCACATATTACGTGGCATGAAAGCAGTTAAAGTTCTAGAAAAGATCTGAGTTCCAAAAGATAACTTAAAAAAATGTTTTTATTGATTTTAGAGAAAAAGGAAGGGAGAGGGAGGGAGAGAAATAGAAACACCGATGTGAGAGAGAAAAACATTGATCCAAATGCCTTCTGCTGGGGATCAAGCCCAAAACCCTGAGCATGTGCCCTGACCAGGAACCAAACCATGACCTCCCTGGTGCAAGGGAAGATGCTCAATCACTGAGCCATACTAGCCAGGCAAAGGACAACTTTTTTGTTTGAACACCAATTAAAGATTAAAGAGCTGTGCCACAGCCCCCAAACTCAGTTGTCTCTCTTATTATATTCCTGATATGTGTGCAAGTTAAGTATAACTAAGTAAAAAAAAAAAAGAGGCAGTATAATTTCATCACGGGAACATTAAGGTGAATTGTTGAAAACCACAAAAAGTGGGTACCATTTAGATCAACTCCAAAATGAATAATACCCACTGTCTGGAAAGATACTTGTGTGGTAAGCTTCATGCATGAGGAGTAAGGATATTCTCCATGTGGAGCATCACAGGAAACTGAGAAGTGGGAACTAACATTTGTGAGAGCCAAGGTAAAGAAAAGTGAGGAAAATTTGGGAATTTCTCCTAAATCTGAACCAAAGGAGACCATTTTAGCAGAGATTTTTCCAGTGGTGATCAACACATTTTCACATGCAGAGCTAGAGAAAGTAGAGATGTTGACAACTGATGCCTTTACCGCAGTCAAGCAAACAAAAACTCAGAGTTGGAAAAATGGAAAAGAGATACAAGGTTGTGTGAGACTTCCCTGCATGAAAGAAGACTTTAGTGTCAGAAGGTGTTTAACTGCAAAGAAGGCCACCTGTGAAGAGAAGGAAACTTAGTTACTAATGTTCCATTCTCTGCATATCCACCTAGAGTTCATAATCTATGTATTTGTTATTAGGTGTGATTATCCATAAACCACTTCCATCAAGGGAAGAAAGGGAGGATGGTTGTGTCAGGAAGTTTTCGGTACTGAGGAAACGAATGGTTATGTTTATTTCAGTCATCATGGGCAATTCTTATACCATACTGTGTCTATGTGAGAATATGAAATTACTTCATAAATCTGAACAACTTTACTTTATTGATTTTGCAGAGTTAAGAGGAAGATCTATGAGGCATGAAGCCTTCGATCAGTTTGGAAGAAAGTGAAATGGATGCAGTGATAGCAGACTGCTGCTAAGACCCATGGACAATGCCACACTCACACTTCTCTGAGGAACTTTAAGATTAATTAGTAATATGCTACCTTTGCGAGATGAAAAGAAACTAATGCCAAGAAGGCATATTCTTCAGTATTTGGACTAGACCTGCTCTCAAGACCATGGCTTCAAAAGTGTCCTGTCTGTATGTTTTGACAGTTGTGTGCTGGGCCAGCGCTCTCTGGTACTTGAGCGTAACCCGTCCTACTTCTTCCTACACTGGCTCCAAGCCATTCAGCCACCTCACCGTTGCCAGGAAAAACTTAACATTTGGCAACATAAGAACTCGACCTATAAACCCACATTCTTTTGAGTTTCTTATAAACGAGCCCAACAAATGTGAGAAAAACATTCCTTTCCTCGTCATCCTCATCAGCACCACCCACAAAGAATTCGATGCTCGCCAGGCCATCCGGGAAACATGGGGCGACGAGAACAGCTTTAAAGGGATCAAGATCGCCACTCTGTTTCTCCTGGGCAAGAACGCCGATCCTGTTCTGAATCAGATGGTGGAGCAAGAGAGCCAGATCTTCCACGACATCATCGTGGAGGACTTCATCGACTCCTACCATAACCTGACCCTCAAAACACTAATGGGGATGAGATGGGTGGCCACTTTTTGCTCGAAAGCCAAGTATGTCATGAAAACAGACAGTGACATTTTTGTAAACATGGACAACCTCATTTATAAACTACTAAAACCCTCCACTAAACCAAGAAGGAGGTATTTCACCGGCTACGTCATCAATGGAGGGCCCATCCGGGACGTCCGAAGTAAGTGGTACATGCCCAGGGATTTGTACCCTGACAGTAACTACCCGCCCTTCTGTTCGGGGACTGGCTATATCTTCTCAGCCGATGTGGCTGAACTCATTTACAAGACCTCACTCCACACAAGGCTGCTTCACCTGGAAGACGTCTATGTAGGACTGTGTCTTCGCAAGCTGGGCATTCATCCTTTTCAGAACAGTGGCTTCAATCACTGGAAAATGGCCTACAGTTTGTGCAGATACCGCCGAGTTATCACTGTGCATCAGATCTCTCCGGAAGAGATGCACAGGATCTGGAATGACATGTCAAGCAAGAAGCATCTCAGATGTTAGGATTTTTACCAGTGTAAATACATTTCTTTTTTAAGAAACAGGCTTAAAGTGTTGGTATTTTACAGGTGTCACCAGGAGAAGTGAACTGGTGAAGGGGTTTTGTAAAAAGCATTTCCTTCCCGCTCCTAGTTCCTTTCTTCCTTTCTTGGATTGCCAATGTACAAGCATTAGGCTCCCATCATAGAAACAATGCATACGTGAGAAGGGCCAGATTTTGTTCTCAGGTCCTAAGGCCTTGCATTTATTTCAAAAAGCAACTTCCTATCAACTGCTAGGATTTGCACACTGTGCGTCTGAGATACAAATCTGGTTCTGGGAAACTGAAACTCACAGTCATGTCTTCATAGCATCTCTGCAGAAGGAAAGAAATAATTCTTTTCCAAAAACAACTCAGAAGTAATGCAAAGTCAGGAAGACACACTGGATGTGAATGATTAGTATTGTGTGTGCTGTTACATTGAATTTTTACATACATTGCCACATCGTGTGCACAGTATCTGTGGTTCCAATAAGAAATTAAATTACTAATAGACTGGCAGGGAGGCTGCAGTTAAATACATTGAAGCTTAAACTTAAGAGTCAAATGCTTTGTATGTTTAGAAAATGATTCTGCTTGCTCATCAAACACACATGACCTAGTGCCTCCAAGGAGATTTTGCCAGATGTCATTGTTTCTGCTACCCTTCACATCATGTAGCTAAGTGCATTTTACAGTTTCTGTCTCAGGCAGGCACACGTGTAGAAATAAGTTGGTGGGAGGCCATAAGAACAATAAATCGCACAGAGAAAATACAAATTTATATATGCATTATAATTCACATAAGATTAGCAAGAGTATAAGATGTCCTTCCCACACATTTGCAAAGTACATGAGAAAAATCTTTTAACAGGTACCAACGTTATTGAATGATTTAGCCCTACAGCTAAGAGATGTAATACTCTCTAATATTTGTAACATCCAAGTACCTCTATCAGCCTGGCTGATAGGAGTGTTATGAAGGCTCTGTAATTGGGGTTCATGGGAAAGAATAGGGGGAAGCTTGAGTTCAGGTTCGACTGATGCCATAGTACTTGTTGGGTCATGTAAGCAAGTATCTTTACCTTTCTGTGCTTCAAATACGCTCATTTATAAAATGGCCGGAAAAACACCTACCTCACAGGTGCTGTGAGAGCAAATCTCATTTGCTAAGTATTTTGAGATCCTTGGTTTAAAAGGTGCTACATAATGCAATGTATGGTGCATTATGCTAAATGCTAAAATAGTTTATGTAATTGCAACGATGGCCGGAAGTAGTAGTCACATCATTTTAATATAAAATCTGCCAAAATATTAACTGTTACTGCACCTGATTCTTCTAAGGCTTTTCCTTGGAGATGTTGTTTGGGAAGCTTCAATTTCTCTGTCATTTATTCTGGTTTCAAGGAACAGGTTATTATTTCAGTGCATTGCCCTGATCTCCCAGGGTGCTGAAAGGGAAGGCAGCTGGCTTTCTTTGGGGAGGAGCCACTGGCGAGGGGTATATTAGAACAATTGAAGCACGTGCTTTGCAAAATGTTTCACATCAATGTAGATCTCAGGAAGCAAGCGTGAGACGTGATCTGAAGTCTCAGTCAGAACTGAGGAATCAGTGAAGCTAGTCCTCTTCTATCGGAAGAACAGGCCCTCAGCAAACCACACATTCCACAACTTCTATCATTCATTAGAAAACTTGGTTTTCATTCAAAGGAAGGCCCACAACTGAAAGAGTGTACCTTTTTTTTTAATATGACTTTTGGAAGCCCCCCTAGAAGTTGATAGCAAACAGGTAGACAAAATGAATAGATGGAAAAACACTGGATGTCTCATCCCCAGCCCCAGAAGAACCCAATGTGAGACAGGCCTCCCAGTCCCTTACTCCATCTTCATCTTACAGTCACAGAACTATAAGAACTGGGGAGAGATGGGTTAGCACAGGTGAGCCGCCCTCCAGGCCCACCCTTTAACTGCTGTGAGTTCCAGTCACTGCAGAGGTCTCATGACTTTGTACTTGGGTCTCCTTTCAGTTGTGTGGCTGAGTCAGGCTTCTGTCTCATACTATCGTCTTGCATTCACCTTATGCTGACTCAAGTCACCATTGATGTCAAGGAATTATGTGCTATAAGCATCATATATGTACATCTGTCAATTGGTGTGTGTGTGTGTGTGTGTGTGTGTGTATTATGAATAGAGCCCTAATCTTTAAAAGGAGCAAAAATCAGAAAATCATGTCTTAAAGAACTATTTCCTAACTTTTTTATGCTAGGTAGTGCCCATGTGACAAACATGTAAATATTCATCAGACCATATGTATATATTTTAAAGGCATTTTTTTTCTTCTCCCCACTGTTCGCATAGCTAGAATGTGCTTGCTGGGTACATTTTCTTCTGCATGGAGCTTGGTGAGGCAAGGCCATTTGGCCAGTTGCAATAGCATAAAGCATGTTTGCCCTTTGTTTTTTGAATGTTCAAAAATGTTTAAGTCAAGTGATCAGAAAATGCTCTAATTTTCTACTTTTGCCAAATTATAGTTTCAGTTATTTGTGATGCCATTTTTTAAAAACAATTATTATCATTTCTCTGGTGTAAAATAATATTTCAGACAGTATTATACTTGGAGTCATTCAGACAGTTTTTACAAAAACCTTCTGACTGTCCCCATACATTTTTTTTGTTTGCATTGTATAACAAAAGGTATTAATAATTAGTGTCTATATTCTTACATTTTCTTTCATAAATTTATTTCAGGGGAAATTTTTATCTTTGGTGATTAAATTGTGTGGCTTTGTGTCTTCTTACATTGACTCAAATTCCAGTTTCAATATTGTATTTTTAAATACTAGAATAAAAATGAAGATCATTTTTTATTTAGATTAAATTGAGAAAAACAAAACCTCTTTGTGTGATATGATATAGGGACAACAAACTCTTTACATAGAAGCTAAGGAAGGAGTTTTTCAATCAGATCTCTTTTATCAAAAGACAATGGGACACTTACATAAAATGCCTGGGATTCATTTTCTACCTTTCCTAATATGTGGGTTAGTGGGGGGATTGATGATGTGATTTCTTCGGTAAAGGTGAAGATCGTTTTTATAAGCAGCAACGTAACTTGTGAATGAAAGAAGTAATTTACTAGAAACACTTGTTGATGATAATTGACATTTAGGTATATCGTTATATATGAATGACTGTATTTATGTATTTATTTGTCAAAATTGTACATACTATTTCGCCAAATGTAATTGTCTGTAAAAGTGCACTCTCCAGGTTTGTAGTACTGTTTAGGGTTACATGGGTTGCCAATCAAGCTGCTAATCAGAATACTATTTTTTGTATCAATGTTATAAAACTAAAAGTGACATAGATGCTGAAGATGTCTTTACATTCGGTTTCTTCAATGTACACTGTTGGTTGAAAGCACGATGCCGATGTGTAAGCCCATCTGTCCTGAGGAAGATGATGGTTCCATAAAGCTGATTTTTTAAACCATTGGGATAAATAAACAGAAGGAGAACATATTTTCCACTTTGCTTCTTTTCTGAAAGAATTTTTTGGTGAGATGTGATCATTACCATTCTCGGATGCCTTGGCATCGTTAACCTTCTCCACAACCTCCATCCAGGTCCTAGTTCAAGCCATACAGAGTCAGCCCTGACAGCCCAGTCCAACATAACCGTCAACTCAGAGGAGATGCCTTGGTCTGGTAGGCCAGGGGCAATGCCCAGGTTTAGGAAGCTGATATCTCCCTTGCCTCTTGGTGACTTCAGGAAGGTTTTTCTGTTACATTCTGTGAGTTGAACATGCCAACAAATTCTATCCAGAGAGCTTTTATATTGTTAATGTGCTTGGTGAATCTGAGGCAAAACTGTCATTCTTATGTTTCACCCACATATATCCTTCGGAATGTTGCATACTATTTTAAAAAGTTTGATAGGCTGGAAAAGATGGTATTGAGGTATCCTTTGAGGCAAACAAGTAGATGCTGATTGCTGATGCCCGACACCATAAGCATGAGACTAATAGCTATTTAAGAGACAAGTTCTTTTTATTATCAACCCCAATCTAACTACATAGGTCTTCTTTGCTTTTTAATGGAAATTTAACTTTGGATCTACTCTCCCTGTACCTTGGAGTTCAAAAAGGTAAAATCTAACAGGGGAGCTGAAATATGTAAATGATGAAAATGTAAAATAAATAGATTTGTGTTCCATGTGACTTTTTAAAGGCCCGGCATCAAGAGCAGTGTTCTATAAGTATTGTCTCAGGCTGGGAGCAGCAGGGTCAAGTGTTAGTAACACCTCACCAGACACATGGGGGATGGCTATGCAGTCTGTTCTAACAAGCTCTGTAATGATGCTGATACACATTGAAGTAGAGAACACTGATCAAGAGCAGGGATTTGCAAACTGCACTCTAAACTACATCTGGCCTGCTGCCTAGGAGTTAAGCATGGCTTCAGGACGAACATTTGCAATGACTTGGTGATAGGAAACACTAACATTGAACCCCAACTAAGCAAAATACTATCTCAATACAAAGAAATTCACCCTTCTCATTATATGTGCATTGCCAAAACAAAAGCACTCAATTATCATTTTAATATGTTTTTAATTCCATCAATGCAGAAACTGTAGAAATTTGTTATCTAAGTAGACTCATGTAGCTTCAACTTCCACTTTTGTTCAAAGCTTAAAATATTTACTTACGGGAATAGGGAAACTTCTAAAAAATTTTGCTACCTACAAAATTCCTCCAATTGTATATGAGGAGTCACATCAATAAAGCATACTGGGATTGTCTCCATGAGCCAGGGAAATGACAACATAGTCATGATGATGAATTGTTTTGAAAACCAACAGCTGCATATTATTTCTCAAATATTTTACTTTTCTCTCTGAGTGATTTTTAAAAATTATAAAAGCTTGATTCTAATTGTAACCATTAGCCAAAGCTTAATTAATATATTGCTTAAAGATGTGTG